ACTAACTTGCGCACACATATTAACATAATAGGAATATGGTGACATAAACAAAGCAAATCTATAATTACCAGCCATCTCCAGTGAAGCCAAGAAAACCATTTAGGCACCCTAGGCATTTGTGAAAATTAGTCTATGATATGATGGATATTGTCCAACTGTACTTGAACAGTCTGAGAGAAGTCAGACAAATTAAAGCAACCCATTTCTGGGATCTGTTCACATACCATATGTTCTTTTAACCGTAGATAGTCTAAAGTCATAAGATTTTGGAGCGCTACAACTTGCACCCATCCCAACTCTGGGTAGAAGGGCTGGGTAGAAGGCAGACCTGTTTCTAGTCTACTCTTGTTCCTTGTAGGATATTTCCTCTCCATCCTCATATAAAAACCCTTTCTCTTTTAAAGCACATATCATCTGCTTACATTATCTCCAAAATGTTCCATGCCTTCTCACCTCCCAGTGAGATTCACTTTTATTAGGGGATTTGGAACTTGCTGGAAAATCTTCCATACTTCCTATTTCATCATTATCTCGGTAAATGTTAAGGTCACTATGGATGACTCAGCCAACATCCAGCCTCAAGCTTTCTCATCTTCAAAGAATTTAACTCCATTCCATTTCTGTTTCCCACTCCCAATGGCTGCACCCAAGCCTTTATTCACTGAGAACCATCCCATGTCTAAAACATTATTTCTTCTTGTCTACTTATGACTATAACTTCCTACTTTCCAGATAGTTCATTCTCTTCCTCCCTCCTCACCTAATATTGTACTTCAGTGAAATGTCCAGTCTAGTGGTTCCTCTATTTTTTCTACTCTTCACATTTACCTTCCTCCTATTTTAATGTGGACCCAATAATCCTTAATCTTTAATTGGAATGATGATCTCACAAGATCTTCAACTCCATTGCCCTCTTCTACTTCTGTGTCATCCAATTGTTTATAAAGCCTCAATCCTGAGTGAATCTAGTATTAATAAAAGAGAAAAAGAATACATTTGGTGAATTGGAACCACCAAAAATTCATGATTTTCAACCCCAGTGCTGCTTGGTAATCTTTTCATGCACCCAGAAATCCCCTTTCTTTAAAATTCCTAAGGGATCTCACCCTTTTCACTGTCAGCAGTTTGCTTCACTTTCTACTCCCTGAGAAAAATCAGGCAGACATTCCTTCAACTCACCGCCATATTGTGTGCATCTCTGCACACCCCTATTACGTCTCCATCTCTGTACCTCCCCACCCTGATGGAAGATGTGTCCTCCCCCGCCTGCCACTCGTCTGTCCTCCGAATCCCATCTCTTCTTGTATCCTCACTTGTTATCTCTCTGTTTGCTCTCCTGCTCCTGAGCACATGACCAAATGAGTCTCTCTCAACACAGAACATGATGCTCTGCCAATCTCGAATCTGCTTTCTAAACACTGCACATGCTCCAACCTGATCAACTTTCAACTGACTGTTAAAGACAAGAGAAAGAGGCCAGGAGCAATGAAAAAGAGACTCTAAGCAATGTGTTGATAATCTGGCTGCAAAGACAAAATTGAAAACTCTGTGTCTGGACACACCTGGTAGTAGGCTTATAAAAGTCGAAGTGAGCTCACAGTTTTGACCCGCATGTTGGAAAGAGAAAAAAGAGGCAGTGGACAGCAAAGATGGTAGATAGAGCTTATTTCTGATCACAAAACGGAGATAACAGTATTGTTTTGGCAAAGCCTGGTAGCTGAGCAAAGGAGGACGGAGACCAAGCAAGACTGTGCTGGAGTCAGGCTAAAGCAAGACCAGAGAAGGTGCTGTGTTAGGGTGGAAAGGGGGGCCCTCTTTGTGGAGGGCTGAAGACAGAGCTGTGCTAGCAAAGGGTGCAGCAGCAGGATGGAAAAGAAGGGCAGACCGAGCTGTCTGTCTAGAGAACAAATTTTCATCTTCATTATCATGCCATAGGATACCACTGTGCTTTTAACATTTAAAAGCCTTTCCCTACCTGAGGTTTCTGTTTATCCTCACAGTAACCCTAGGAGGAAGGTAGGACGGGCATTGGAAGCGATGAGTGAGTGCTGTTAGATGAAGCAAGAGCAACAATCAACTTGCCGATAAGCAAGTGTGGCTGATTCAGAAAGAAGGTGATGAGAAAAGACAGAGAAAGTACTGCTAAAGGGTTACTCCAAGAGGGAAAAGGGGGGAAACAGTGGGAATAGATGGGGTAGGTTTCATGTTAACACAGAGGCCAAGAAGGGTGAATGGAATTTTCTCCTTCTCCTCTTCCTCTTCTCTTTCAAAATTGTTGAGGAAGGAAAACCCTGGAGGAGACCAAGAGGCACAAAGCACCAGAAAGGCACAGGTTTCTAATCGTAGGTCAATGGATGAGCTTCAGGGGTTTAGAGAACTCCCAAAATCATATTCCGAATTTTTTTGTCTGTAGGTTTGTGCCTAGTGGGTGGGGGGATGGAATGAGGATGAGGGAACAAAAGGATAGAGAAGAGAAGGAGTTAAGGACATAAATCCCATATGCAAAGATGAGAAAGGATACTAAGGTTTGTAAGAGTGTAAACAGAGTAAAGCAGGGAACTGTCTGATACACAGGCTCTGCCTGAGCGTAGAGGCCTAAGTCTACTTGAGCTGGGGCTAGGGAGAGAGAGGAATGTATTCGTGTCATTCATGTAGATTCCAAACTTGAGAATAAGAACCCATCAGGCAAACTGATGAGATACAAGATGCAGAAAACATGGATGTCACCCAAGCATATGTTTTAAATGGGTGAATTAGAAAATAAACCAACCATTGAGAAGGCAAGGATGGAGGAAGAGAGAAAGAGGCACAGGTGCCTGAGCAATCTCGCTGATGAACACAAGTATTGCCTCTGGTAAGGAAATATGCACTAACATTAAGGCAAGGACAGGGCTGAGATAATGTATTCAGAGGCAGATAACCAATATGGATCTGGGAAGGGTCAGCTTGTTGGAAATGACAGGAAGCTTCAAACTACATGATGGAATAGTTGGAGGTCACGTGACAAAGAACAATAGGGAATTGTTCATAAATAGGGCATATAAAAGCTTCCAAAAAGGAAAATGTTAAATAAGAATGAGGACACCAGATTGGTCAATAGGAAAGGAATAAAACCTCCAGAGGACAGAAGAAATACAGAACTCTACGGAAGTGGAAGTCAGGAATAACAGCTATGACAACAGTTCTTATGATGTTCATTCATTCATTTGTTTGTTAATTCATTCAACAAGTATTTATTGAGCACATTCTCTGTGCTAGTTACACTTTTAGGCACTAGTTAAAAATGATGAGCAAGATGACATCAGGATTTTAGTGACAAGCAGGTAGGAAAACATACATTAAAATTATAAAAGGATTTAATTAGAATTATATTAAATGCTCTGAAGCAAATATACGTATAATGGGGAACCAAATTTTGCAGGGAGAAGATCAGGAGAGGCTGACCTGCAGGATGAATAGACATTGAACTGTTGAAGAGCTAGGGAGAGGTATTTCAGATAAAAGGAACTGCCTGTGAAATGCCTTATGTCAGGAGAGCTCAGGTGTGATTGAGCATCCTACTGGCATAAGACCTCACATGAACAAAACTGACTTCCAGGAGACATTGAGCATTGTGGCCACATTTTGAGTAAAAATTACTTTGGACCTAACAAAACTATCAAACAGGTATATGGGCAAAATTGAACCTTTTTACACACCCAAGGATTCAGCAGTTTTCCTTCCAATGGTTCTTTTTGGATGGCTTATGCTAGGAAAAGTAGGGTGAAAACTGAAAATAAAAGACAAAGACAGTAGAACTAAACTAGAATATAAAGAAAAGAAGCCCCAGGGTGATAATTTCCTAGGAGGCTAATTGTAATTCATCTGTTTTAAGACCGGATATAAGTGGGCTCTAGGTAAAGCATTTTCAAGAAGAAAAAAGTGGATAGTTTCCTATACATACAATAATAAGTGTGAGATAATAGTGGTAATGGTAGAGGGGGCATTTGTTTCTTTTCTTAAGAACAAGGGAAAAGCATTTAGAAACTTCAGGAAAAATGAAAAGCAATCTAATAAAATCATCATCTAAATATGAAACAAACTAAAATTTCACATGACTTTGAGTCTCTATGCTGAGAACATTCTTTGTTGAGAGACCCCAAAAGATTATGGATTATGACATTGGACTCATAAAGAAGGAAATGTAATCCTAGCGCATTTACTTTCTTCTGCAGCAAATCACATGTACTTATTAATTATAATATAAGTGCTATTTAATGGCTTTCAGATATTATAATTAACCATATACTAGGCATGAATAAATTAATGATGGAATAAATTAAGAAGGAATATATATTCATCTTTGACTGTGTACAATTAAAAGTGTAGCTAGTACAAGTTGGAAAATGGAAGTCTCAGTTTACCTACAGGGAAGTGAAGAGAAATTATTAAAATTTAGGGAACAAAAAGTTTTACTAACAGTATTTAAGTTAACATAGCCAATAGAGGAAATAAATATCGAAGTTTGGGAGGTATTTGCCAACAAATTCAATCATTCAGTTGGACAAATTCCTAGAAAAGAAACAAATTACCAAAACTGACACAAGAAGTAGAAAATCTGAATAGACTTATAGTAAGAGAAGCTATTAAACTAGTAATTAAAAAACTCCCCATGAGGAAATCTCAGGCCCAGTTGGCTTCACCACTGACTTCTACCAATCATGAATAATTAATATCAATCTTCCACAAAAATTTTTCAAAAAAAATAGAAGAGGAAACAACACTTCCTAACTCATTCTGATGGGTACATTGTCCAGTTTCAACATCAGGATAAGACTTGTAAAGACATCACAAGGCAAAAAAACCAATAGGACAATATCTCTTATGCATATAGGTGTAAAAGTCCTCAAAAAAAATTAGAAAATCAAATCTAAGAATATATAAAAAGGATTATACACCAGGACCAAGTGGGAATGTAAGGCTGGTTTAATGTCAAAAAATCAATTAATGTAATATACCATGTTAATAGAAAAAAACGACAAAATGATATTACCGTCTCAATGATAGTTGACAAAATCCAACATTTTTTCATGATAAAAGGAAAAAAATTCAACAATTGAGGAACAGAAGGCAACTTTCTCAATCTGATAAACCTGATAAAAGACATCTACAAAAAACCCACAGCTAACATCACACATAATGATAAAGACTGAATAATTTTCTCCTAAGCTCAGGAACAAGACAAGGACATCCAAACTTGTAATTTCTATTTAATGTTGTACTAGAAATTTTAGCCAGGGCAATTGGGCAAGAAAAAAAAATAAACATGCATCCAGATTGGAACAGAAGTAAAACTATCTCTATTCATAGATTATATAATCTTGTATCTAGAAAATCTAAAGGAATTTACTTTAAAATGATCCTGGATTGTTGGAGTGGGCCCAATGTAATCAGGAATCCTTATAAGGAAAAGAGGGAAGCAGTAAGACCCATTTATGATTTCTGACCTCCAGAAATGTAACATAACAAATTGGTGTTATTATAAGCCTCTAACTTTGTGGCAATTCATTAGAGCAGCAATAGGAAACTAAAAATGGAAGGCAGACTGGAGAAATAGAGGGGCCTGGAGGTGGCAGGTCTCTGTCAGCCATATTAAGGAGTTTGGGCTTTATTCTGAGGGCAATAGGAAGCTGTGAAAGGCTCATACTTGTATTTCAGAATGATTGCTCCAGCTAAAGTAAGGGGAAGGGGTGGGTGGGGGGCAGGCAGGACAAGGTCACATGAGCCTGTTACTGTGGCTTCTACCTTACGCAGCCCAGAGAAGTCCTTTCTCTGGTGAGGATCCTCTGTTGTTAGTTCAGCAATGATTCTGACTTCTGTATGTTTAGCAAATATGGAATATTGCATAATGAGGATTGAGTCAAGAAGAGAGACACTAACAGATGCAAAGAGTGAAAATTCATGGGGCTGGTGCAGCCTCAGCTCCACAGTAAGGTTTCCTCACCTTGATTCTCCACATCTTTCAGTGGGTCTACCCCTGGAGACAGGATAAAAAACATGGGAGTGGCTGGTCCTGATTCCTCAAATGAGGCTGCAAAGTCGAGGGCTCTTCCCACCACGTATTTGCTTCCTAACTTCTCCTCAACAAAGTCTCTGCCATAAAAAGAAGTGCACATATGTATACCAGTCACAAAATAATGACATTTGAGAAATGGAGGCCCTATGGAAATGGAAGGATGTTCTCAAGGTCATTGGCTTGGTAGTTACAGGTCCCGACTCCAAGTTGGCTACTTATCTATTCAGTCAACATTTACAGCCTATGTGCTGGTTGCCAGCCTGCTTACCTAGATCAGGACTCCTGAATCCCCATCCATCCAGGCCAGCGCTGACTTCCCTGTGAAGCCTGGGTGTCCAGCCACATCACTACCATCCGTCAGAAGACTGCTAGGACCAACGCCTTCTGGAAGCTTACGGCAGCCAAATCCTGCCTACTTTGTATCCCTGAGATCCTCTCTACCTACTTCAGATTAGGGGCCCTCAAGTTCTATTCCCACATGTTCTATCATTCTGTGTTTCCTTTCATCTTACTCCACTTACCAGTGGTCCTTCCAAACAAGCAAAGCCTTGCAGCTACACCCACTTTCCACCCCACCCAACTCCTGGCCTTAACTCTTCCCCAAGGACACGACTTCCCCTGTAGCCTCCGCAGTTAGGCTCATTCTCCTACATCTGACCTATCTCAGGACTGGAAGGTGGGGTCATGGTCCTGCCCACTGATGACTGCTGTTTCCAAACCATCACTTCACTCTGGTGGCTCTGTTGAGACTTGGCTTCCCTGCCGCATCCCCACTACCCCAGCACATCAGCGTCACCTGTCATTCCTTTGGTCACTCTACTCACTCACTGGACGCGGGGCTACTTGGCTCATGGACTTTTTCTCCCCCAGCATGAGTGACACCAACATCTGTGTGGAAAATCCTCCAGATTCTTAATGATTTTCATTTCTTCCCCACTTCAGCCACCTAATTCCATGGCCACAGCCTCATCATTGTCATTACTTGGTAACTTTTTCTATGTCTGAGATCTTACATGGAAACATCCCACCCTGGCCCAAACATTCTATTAGCAATTTACAATTCACCCTTACTTCACCTATTTTGGGCCTGTGTTGGTGTCACACTACAGATGCAGGATTTTCAGCGTTTTGTCCTCCCTGTTTTTGTTTCTTGGTGTTTTTGCTATTATCCCCTTACTCTCTTCATTTCTTTCCTATCCAGTGTAGACTCTGTGGCCTATAGCTTCTCTCTTTTTTAACTTTATTAAGGTATAACTGACACACCATAAAAGTCACCCATTTTAAATGTACTATGCAATAATTTTAAATAAATTTACTGAATTGTACAACTTTGTAAAACTTCCAGTTTTAAAGCATCTTCATCATACCACCAAGATCACTCTTGACTATTTAGATAATTCCTATTCCTACCCTCCAGCCCCAGGCAACTACTTACCTGCTTTCCATCTCTATGTTGCATGACCTATGACAACATTCTCACATCCCTTGTCTAACTTTCTGACATACCAACTTGAAATGACCTGTGCTTCAGATCGACTTAACTCTGAATCTACACCTAGGCTGTTGGACGCTGCTGTAGAAAATAATCCAATGGTGAAGGTTGGTACAAATGCAGGACACAAATACAAATGTGGGATAGTAAGTAGGTGGGCCCTCAACGCTGCTTGAAATTCTTTGGGTTTCCCTACCCAGCCTTTCCTCTGATTTTTCACAGATCCTGTTTCAAACCTTCTGCACTCTCTTCAAGTATCCAATTCTGCCACATTCCCTTTCACACAAACTCAACTGATGATCTTCCTCCCTACCTCTCAGAGAAAATAGAAGTCATCAGACAGAATCCTCAATTTTCTGCCATTCTCTGCCACCTTAGCTACAGCCATACCTATCTTTCTCTCCTGTTTTTGTTTTTTTTGTGTGTGATGAAGGAGCTTTTCTTTTTCCTAAGGAGGATCTTTCCCTCTGTTTTCTGGATTCCATTATCTCCTACCACATTCGAGGTGACCAGCATCCCTCTTAATGCTGATGTCAATGAGCACCTTTTCCGAAACTGTTCACTTAGATATTAAGAAAACACATGGTAAACAGAGCAACAGGCCTCATAGGGTTGTGGATGTTTATACTAAGGCTCCCATTACTACAAGCACATGACCTTTGTGCTCAGTCCTGCTAGCTGGGCCATGTTAAGATTGCCCCACGCCTACCCTGGGCCTTCCCACTGGCCTCTGCTCCCTACCGCATGGCGTAGGTCATCCGGTCCGGCCGCATGGCCCTCATCATGCAGAGGTGCTGCAGGGCTGTCTTGTTCTTCCACTCCTGTGGGAACTTCTCCTTCTCAGGACATTCTGATTCCACAAACTTTTTCCAGCTCTTGGCAGACCCCTCAATGTCCCGATCCAGATTATAGAATTCTTCCATTGATGAAAGTGCCTGGGAAATTCCAGAGAATCTTTCTTTGAAATGCAGTTTTTCCAGAAAGCTATAATAGGCATTTTGTTGGGGGTCAGGGACAAGATGGTTATTATAGACGTAATTCTGGCTCATTTATTCTCTTGTCTGGAGCCTTGGATTCCCCCCCCGGTAAACTCAAGGAAGCAGAAGGATTTTGATCAGCTGAACTTCGGCAGACCGCTCCAACAATGTGCAAGGGTTAGCAAATAAAGTGTTTGGGTTCTCAGTCTCTGACATAGCAGAGACTGAGCAGCACTTTTCTGAAGGGCACTACATGGACAGAAGAGTGTGAAGTGATACCATGCTTTTTCTGGTCATGAAGCCCAAACACTTTAAGTCTGATTCCTCCCTTTCATCTCCATACTCACTCTGCCAGCAACTCCTGTCAATTCCTCTCTCAAAACATCTCTAGAATTGCTGACTTTGTGTTAATGTCAACTCTAAAAATTCCCATGAGTTGCTAGCTTCCATAAGGATTAAGTCTAAATGCGTAACTTGGTAATCAAACCTCTTCATTTAGTGCTTCCCTCCAACCCATCCAGTTAAGCAGGTATCTTATTTCCCTCCTTTGTTCAAGTTATACCTATGCCCAACCTGGAAATGTGCCAGACTCATTTCCATCTCAATTCTTTGTTGACACTATTTTTACCATGTAAGAGGTGCTGTTGTTCTCTTCTTCACCAGACTCTACTTCCTTTTCTTGTGCTGGTCATGATTATTATTTGTTAAGACTCTACACATTGTTAAGGTCCAGTTCAAAATCAGCAGTCTCCCTCAGATACATCCTCTCTCACCTAGGACACATAGCCTTCTCCCCTTAAGTGAACCACTTAGAACTACTCATGAGTTCATGTCTTTAATAAAGAATCTGACTCAATTTTTAAATGTTGGACTGCTAATAGCTTTTAAGCCTTATCCATCCCTCTTTCTCTTCTGCTTCTTATCTGGACAAGCTAATAAGTAATCCCGGTCACTCCCTCCTTTGGTGCTAGAAGCAAGTTGTACCATGTAAGCTCCTGCCCATGCACACAGGAACCCTCATCTAACATAAACCCGCAAACTAACACAAAAAACCCAAGATAGTTTCCTTTCCTGGCTCTCTCCCAAGCCATTTTCAGACCTCTCAAGAGCTCCCCTGCTTTCCCCAGAAAGCTTCATTATCTAAATAATAAAAATTTCATACCCTTTGGTATGTGTGTGGCCTTGACATCAGAACAGAATTTCGGGGTGGGTGCCTATCCTCTTTCTTCAGAGTGCCCATGTAAGCATCACTTACTCAGACACTTAGTTACCTGCAGTCTTTCCATTATTGCCCAGTTCGGCTTGTATGCTTAGTCTCTCTAATGAGATTAAAAACTAAACTGTCCAAAGCACCTACTGCAGTACCATACATTTTAAGGAGCTTAATGCATTCTTGCTACTTCAATTCATTCATTCACTCACTTGACATTTGTTGAATGCCCATTACATGTTCTTGAGAATACAAGGGTGAACAACAACAGCAAAAAAGACACACACCTTCAGGAGCTCATAGTCCTAAATCAAGGAGAAAGAAGAGATGAGGGAGGCCTTAATAGGTATGCTGAATTCTGTTGGACTGAGACAGAGGTAGAGAGAAGGGAAGGGCATTTTATGGGGAAGGTGTAAGATAACTTTTAGCCGAAATAAGCAGGCAAAGGGAGGCAACAAAGGGCCAGGTAGTTTATTTGAATGCACCCCTGGGTGATGTTCCACAGCCTGGGTATTACAGGCCAGAGAAGTCGCACCCGGTCAGGGAGGTGGGGGCTTATAAGGGATTAGGAGGGGGAGGAGTGGGCAAGCTATCCTAGGGGGCGTGGAGAGGTATGATTGACTAAAGGTGACATAATAGACAACTACAAACTTTTTTCCTTCCAAGAGGGAGGAGGCTGACATCGGGTCTTAGTTGGCACATCAGAAGGATGGAATTCAGGAAGAGCTGTCCCCTTTCCATATAAGGCATGGACCTTGGGGTCTGGTCTGTTCTCCCCCTATGGCATCTCTCTGTTCTGTTTGCATGTCCTTCTTTTTCCTTCCTCCAGCCTAACAGAAGGATCAACAAGAGCCCAAGTCTAGAGAGGAGAAATTGTGGTGCATGATAAGAAGCAGTGTGACTGTAAGTAGTAGAGGAGTTTTTTTGGGTGACCAGGGAAGGTAGATCTGGAGAAGGACACATACACTTGACCTGGGCTTGTTGAGTCTCTTTTCCCATGCAAATGAACACATCCTGCCTTTACATGCCACTTCATACAGGTTCTGTGGCTTCCCAACTTCACGCTGACCAGTTAGAGCAGGGAATGCACCTTCATTTGTGCTTAGAAGTGGCATGGAGTGGTGAGTCGGATGGTGGCAGAGATGCCAGGAGATGAGAGTTCTGATCCCATTTCCACCTCTTAAGAATTGGAACCTGGTTTTAAACCTTTGTGAGCTTTGATTTTCTCATTTGGAAAATGAACGCAAGTAATCACTGTCTTCAGCTCCTTCTCTAATGTAGATACAAGTGCTTTGTAGACTATAAAGCCCTCCCCTATGCTTTCTCAGGGCTCCTGCAGTTATTGAATTGCAATGGCTGGTTCATTTGCCTGTTACTCCCACAAGATAGTGAGTTCCCTGCGGGCAAGACCTTTCTTAGGCATCTTTGTATGCCTTAGGCCTAGCAAGCTGTCTGGCACTTAGAAAGTGCTCAATTAATAAAGTTTAACATCTGGGTAGCTGGCAGGAGGGCTCTTGACAGGCTGAGAAAAGCTGCAGCTACAGTAATTATTTCTCTCTGGGCTGAGGAACTGACTTTCATCTCCTTTCAGGCAGCCACTTCACTCCTCTTCCCAGCTTGTATCATCATTAACCCTTCTCCAATCCTATTACCCCCTCTGGCGTCACCACAAAACTGGGCAAATTACACTGTGATCAGGACTCCCAGTTGCCATTGCTTGGTCTGAAGCACACTTTCTTCAAGCTCTGGAATGAACACAGTTGCAACATTTAATCTTCCAAATGAGGGAAAGGGACTTCTAGCCTTCTAATAAGCTAAATGGAAATGACTAATTAACCTAATTACATTGGACTGTGTAGCAAAATACAACTGTGCTAAATTGGCATCCAGAGTGGTAGTGAGGGGCCTTTTTAAAGGTTAACAAAGGCATGCATCACAGATGAGACTATAATGAAGAACAGAACATGCCCATTACCTTAAAGTTCAGCATTTGATGAGACTTAAAAAATCCTCACAAAGGATAATAATAAAAGCAAAATTTTATCACAAAGATTTCATTCATTACTTGATTATTATTCTTCTGGAGAAACAAGGCAATCAACCTTCCTCATCAGATAGAATGTTTAAAAATTTTTTCTTATCATGTCCCATTCAATTATTATTTTGTTTCTTTAGGCTAAAATCCAACTGAGCACTTAAAAAGAACATTCATCGAAGGCTTCAGCAATGTGCACTACACATTGTACTGTGTTTCACCTGCTCACGTCCTGTACTGTGCTGGAGTTTGATGGCTCTGCACCTTGCTGTTCCACATAACAAAACTCAGAGAAAGAGCTTAAGCCTTTGAGCAGCCAGCTAAGCTTAGCCCTCAAAACAAAACAAAAAGGCAAAGCAGAGCAAACAATCCTTCTGTGAAAACAGCACAGGAACTAAATTGCCCTGCAGCTTTTGAGTTGAGAACGTAAAATGAAAGCCATAAAGAGTGCTTTTCAATCATTTATTCCTTATGACTTTCACCGCAGAGGGCTTTGTGAGATAATACAGGGAAAAGCAGCAAGAGTTGGCCCAACTGGGCAACTCACAATTCCTTAAAGTTTTCCTTTCCTGGGCAAATTCTATCAGGCACGACCCACATCAACCACAGCATGTATACACGTTTTAGCTAGAATACTCCCAACCATTATTAGGTGAATTGTGTCCCCAAATGATATGTCGAAGAACTAACTTCCCAGACTTGTGAATATGACCTTATATTTGGAAATTGGGTCTTTGCAGATGTAATCAAGGTAAGATGAGGTCACTAGGATGGGCTCTAATCCACTACAACTGGTGTTGTAAGAACAAACGCAAAGACACAGAGGGAAGATGGCCACGTGGAGACCGTGGAGATGGAGGCGGAAACTGGAGCTGTGCGCAAACCATGGAATGCCTGGGGTCACCAGAAGCTGGAAGGCAATGAAGCATCTTCCCCTAAAAGTGTTAGAGTGAATACCTTGATTCCAGACTTCCAGACTCCAGGCTTAAAAGAGAATAAGTTTCTATTGTTTTATGCTGCCCAGCTCTTGGAAACAAACACAACAGCTGTAACCCTAACTATAATCAGTTTCCATTCACTCAGCAGTTACTGTGTGTTTGACACACCTGTGAGCTAGGTATTATGATGGCCATTTGACAGAGAGGGGAGCAAAGGTTCAGAGGAGTCAGGTAACATGGCAGAGGCCACACATCCTCAAACTTGAACTCAAACGCAGGAATGTCTGACTCCAGAGCCTGTGTTAACTAGCCCATCATTGAAAATGGGCTCATTCAGAGCTGCTTTCCAGAATTTATTCTCCCTGAAGGCATCAGACTGTGAGTTAGTATTCTCAAGCTCTGGGGGCCATTCTGTCCCACAAAGAAGCCATGGTCATATGTGAGTACTGAGCAAATAAAATGTGGCTAGTGTGACTGAGGAACAGCATTTTTAATTGTATTTAATTTTAATAATTAAAAATTTAAGTTTAGCAACTGGGAATTGCTTTAGTAATTGGCAAACTTTTAAGTATGTTTGGAACAGCTTAGGGATCTGAATCAACTGTTTTAACTTTAAATTTTATGAAATCTAAGTACATATCAAGTCAAATGTTTGTGATTTGAAATAAGCTGAATTAAATGAGCTGTGTGTAAAAAGTACACACCAGAATTCAAAGACTTAGTACAAAAATTTTAAATACTTCATTAATAATTTTATACTAATCACATTAAAATGGCAATATTTTGGTTGTATTGGGTTAAATAAAATACATTATTAAAATTCATTTATTTCGGTTTATGTTTTTAATATGGCTGCTAGAAATAATTCAAATTACATACATAATGTTCATTCTATTTCTTTGGACAGTATATGGAGTATGCCTGTTCATTCATATCTGATCTTACATAGCCTACGAGAGTTGATGGTTTTTGCTCTGCATTTATTGTAACTATTCTCAGGCATTTTGGCACGTTATAATTTTGGTTGCTGCTGTGAATAGAGCTCTCCCTTGTTTCTTTCTCAATATAGTATTCCCCTTCTTTTTTGCCAGATTCTGTCCAGAACAACAAATGAAGTTAATAAAAGTCAAATCATGCCTTTATTATTTAGGCCAGGGATCAGCAAAATACAGCTTGCAGGCCTAATCTGGCCCAACACCTGTGTTTGTAAATAAAGTTTTATTAGTTTCCATTTGTTTACATATTGTGTGTGACTGGGAGAACTGAGTAGTTGTGACCCAGTCTGGCCCTCAAAGCCTAAATATTTACTATGTGGCTCTGTATAGAAAAAGGTTAATGAGTCCTGATTTAGACACAGCCCTAAAGATGATTAAAAGGATAGCTTCAGACTCTGGAAAAGAAGTTAGAAAAGTATTTTGGGCAATGGTGGCATGAGTAGAATTAGCCTCAAATTTTCTGAAATGGCTCCTTTGAAGAGGACAGCACACATATAAATATTAAGGTCTGGCCTTTTGTTATAGACTAAATCAACTTGGATGGATCTCAAGAGAATTATGCTCTTGAACAAGCCAGTCCCAAAAGGCTACATAATGTATGATTCCATTTATATAATATCCTTGAAATGACAAAATTATACAAATGGAGAACAGTTTAGCAGTTGCCAGACATTAGGAATTAGGGTAGGGAAGAGGCTGTCATGGTTATAAAGGGCAACAAGGAGCAGTCCTGTAGTGGTGGAATTTTCTATATCATAACTGGGGTAGTGATTACACGAATCACATGTGGCAAACTAAACACCTACATGAGTATGTGAAAAACTGGTGAAATCAGACAGAATAAGATTACTAAATTGAATCAGGATCAGTTTCCTGGATGTGATATTGTATTATAGGAGTGTAAGATGTCACTACTGGGGGATACAGGGTGCAAGGGATATTTCTATGGTTTCTTATAATGGCATGTGAATCTGCATTAGCTCAAAAAAATAGTAAAAAATATAAAGAGAAAGAAAGTCAATCATACTACTTTAAGATTCACACTTGTTTGTGCTATGAAACATGTATAAAATGCACCCAGCATGGGCTATCCTGAACAGGACTCATTTTGTGCACCAGTGCCTGCTGTGGGGACTCATTTGGGTGTGGACTGGACAGCTGCCCACCTGGACTCTCTGGAGTTGGTGTTCAAACATGTCCTGCTTCATGCCAGGCCTGTGACTGCAGGCATGGTCCCTACTGAAAGGAGCTGATGGTTTGTGCTCTTTCAGGGTGCACAGAATCCCAAGTAAACTACACTGTATAATATAGAAAGAAAATAGTTTTTGCCATCAGACAGACCAGAATTTGTGTCCTGGATTTGCTACTTAGGTTCTGTGACCTCAGTTTCCTCATACATGAAATGGGAACAAGTGATACCTAATGTCCAGGTGAACGAGAGAAGGAAGCAAAGTGATGCATTTCTCAGGTGTTCAATACATGTGAACTATTACTAGTCGCTGAGAATCTCAGGCTGGAATGCTTTCCCTGCGCTGAGGCTGAGTTCAGATTCTCATGGAGATGCCTGAACAGAGCCCTGGCATCTGTCTGCTTAAAGAAGTGAGGTCATAGCATCTCTACACCAGTCCCAGGGCCTCACAACGCAGCCCATGTTCTAGCCCTAAGCGCTGGGAGGGTGAAGATAGCTCAGCTGAGCCAGGGAAGCTCATGGAGCTCCTGTTCCCCCACATCCTGGCAGCAGAGCCTCTCATCACCACACCTGGCCTTCTCTGCAAAGCCTTACCAGCAGGTCTGGGAGCAGGGGTGCAGGTAAAAGGATGCATCTATGATAATACAGTTCCTTGCTTGAACCCAAAAACAGAGCCCACTGATGTCCTGGGGATGAGCGCTAAGGAAAAAATTCCAAGACCCTTTTCTACTGACCTTGATGCCACCCCAGGCCTGATGGGAGAGGAATTCCACTGGGCTGCTGTCACCTGTCTGCACGGGAGATGGAAGCAGGAAATCCAGCTCAGCCGGAAGAACCTCCTGGTTCAAGAGGAGGATCTGCAATGCAGAAGAATGACACTGCATTTATTCAGCTGGTGTATTCACAGTGGCCTGGAGATCTCAGGGGTTGTCACTTGGTGTAATCATGGATGCTTCTAACTCTAGAGTTTACCCATCAGTTTTGGTGACTGAAAGAGGATGGAGTGGAAGAAAGAGTATATCTGCACACATCACTTCTGTGTGCATCTTCCCCCAAAGTACTAGGGTGGCTTAAATGCACACAGTGAATGACTATGTATCTTGCTCAGCAAGCATTTTATATATCAATCCTGAATGCTATGGAATACATTCCTGCAATCTAACCAAGATGATGATGCAAATGACATGATTTGAGGAGAATGTCAAAGTAGCATGAATATATGCAAAAGAGAAATGCATGTATGAATCTATAATGCTAATAAGGTCCCAGAATGGGGAAGTGGCCAGCACGCAGGGATCGCGGAATTAATTTGATTAAACCTTCTGTAAGTGGCTTTGAACTGAGTCTTGAGGAAGCTAAGAGGTGGGAATATCTAGAATGGAAGGGAAGGCTTTCTAGGGAGTGGACAATAGAAATGGAGAAGGCTGGGAGAGGAATTGGTGAGGTGTGTGCAGGGGAGGGTGAGGCATTTGGCTTGGTGAGAGCTAATGTTTCCTGCTGAGAGGTGCCTGGGAAATTGTTTTCCCCCATTCAAATGGTGTTCTGTGATGGGAAGTTACAGATGGGAAGGCTCACTAAGAAAAAAACCATTTAGTTAATCTGAGGAAAATTCTCTAAAGAGAAAACAGGCTAGAAATAGCAGATGAGGTGGCTAAAGCCCTTGCAAATGAGCTTAAAATATTTACAAAGAAAGAAGACTGAAAGCTAGGAGTGAAAGCTCTGTGGGGACAGGGAAAAATGAGGGGCAGGAAGGAAAATATTCTTTCTTGGGGCTCAAGTCTTTTTATGATGGCTGAGCTGTCATCTGGGGTGGACGAGGAGTATGGAGGCGAGAGGGAGAAGCCACATTCATGTCCCCCCATGAATTCTGGCTTTGGAACAGAGTCAGCACAGAAGCGTTCATAGAACAGCTGGGTTTTAGAATGGGAAGAGGCCTGGAAGATAATCTAGCGTATGCTCCCAGTTTACACATGGAAAACAATCCCCAATCCTAAATGATTAGAGGGACGAATACAAGGAAGTAAATTTTCATGTTAGTTTGATGCTGAGTAAGTAGAAGACAGGTTTCTTATTAGCGTTCAAAATCCCCGATGCTCCCCTACCTTTGAGAATCGTAATTCTTAAGGACCTTTTTAAGACATTTGCAATTTCTCATTCCAAGGGAGGTTTGAGACATTAAGCTTGAATACCTAAAGGTACATAAATAATGAGGGATACGTGAACACATTTCTTACAGCCTCTCATAAAGTATGTAGTTACTGGTATGGCCAACAGGTTTCATCCTGGGTGCCAGTTTGATTACTGGTCGTGCCTGCGGAGGGCATGTTGAGGAAGATCTTAGGTCATCCAGGGCCAAAGAGATGAAGTACGATGGTTGATTAAGCTGGTCTGCCATGAGTGGGATGATGTTCGCTGTAGCATGCAAGCCGCATATTGACCAGCTTGTCGTATATAACTGCTTAAAGCTTAACAGTCTTCTCCATATACTACGGGAAGTGATGTTTGAAAGAAAAAATGTTTCTTTACACTTTCTGGTTGGGCACTAGAAAATGAACTGTTTTCTGGAAGCTTCTCCAGTCCACTTTTACCTGAAAGGTGAGCTGGGCAAGGTAGGTCAGCTTATCACACTCAAAGAGCCCACCGGTGGTGTACTAGTACACAGAGAAGGTGACGCTGTCTGTGAGGTTGGCCACCCGCTCCTGGAGGCTCTCACTGGGAGCCGCCTTCTCCACAGCCTTCTGGAAGACGATGCTGAAGGCCTGGGGGCAGAAGGGGGACACTGGTAATTTTCACAGCTCTCTTTGTATATAGCTAGTAGTCTAACGTGTGAAGAATATTATCATTTGCCAGTCACAGAAATGCATTCCTAGTATATCCTGCCAAGAAGGGACAGTGGTACAAGAAAGCATGCTATTAGCCCTTTACTTAGTTTGCCCAAATGAATCATTACATTGTCACAAAATGGG